GGGGTCGTCTTGTACATGGGGGCGTCTTATTGTTGGAAAAATACGGGACTCTGTTTCAACACTGAATGAAATGCATGCCTAGAGAGACCCAGCTGACTCTCTCATTGCAATTGTAAGCAAGAGAGTGCAAATTCTCTTTGTGTCTTGGGTTACTGTGCAGAACTTTGATTTGCTAGCTGGCCAAGTGAAACACAGTACTTCTGCAGCAGCCACTCAGATTCCTCCTTTCCTCTCTCTTTTCCAAAGCCAAATGGAAAAGGGGAAAAAGAGGAAGAGAAAACCCTCTGCTTATAATGCCATGCAGATCAGAGTAGAGATTCTATGCTATTTTAATGTTTTAATTTCAAGGTGTTTTTAACCAGCATTTCAAATGTAAATATAGAAATAACACCACATTTTAAAAAAAAATTCTTTTGCACTTGTGCATATGTTTATTTCATTTGGAAATAAAACCTTTTGTTGACTTACCTCATTTCCACTTGCTAGAACAAACTCTGACAAAGTACCTTGCTTCCAGGGTGGAATTGCTGCCCATACCTGAAAAATAAAGAATCTGAAATATTTTGCTTTCTACCAAGTAACACAATTTCTTGACCTCCAGAATATGGTACACCTAAAGCAGGCAGATACTCAAAATTCATCTTCCTATATGGCAGTGTATTATACACAGGACGTCCAACTCATTCCATTCTGGAAAACTTTTTAGGCAAGCTTTCTTATTCCCATAAAATACAATAAAAGAAAAAAAATATTACCACTTGCAACCTTAAATAAAACATCTCTATTGAAGTCATTGGTTTCTACCCTAATGATTTATAAATCCACTCAAAATACTAAGTGGGTTTTGTTTTTTGTTTTTGTTAGTAGTAGTAGTAGCCAGGGCTGAGGACCCCTGACTTGGGGACAAAGAATGTGAGAAAATTCTGAAAGTGCTAGTAGACCACCAGCTGAATTTAAAGAAGTAGCATGGTGCATCAGCTTAAAAGGCCAATGCAATCTTCAGATGCATTAACAGAATGACAGAAACCAGATACCTGTACAGGAGGTAATGGTTGCACTGTACTTTGCACTAGTTAAACCACACTTGGAAAGCTGTGTCCAATTCTGGGCACCATGCTTTAAAAAGGATTTGTAACAGGTGGAGCAAGTTCAGAACAAAGTTACCAGGATGAAAAACAATCTGGAAACCAAACCTTACAAGGAACAATTAAAAGAGCTTAGCATTCTTAGCTTTCTAAAGAGGAGACAGAAGAAAAATATTATAGCAGTCTATGGCTATCTAAAAGGCTGTTACATACAGTTGGGATCAGATCTGCTTTTTTTCTGCTGAAACCATGGGCAAGACAAAGACTAGTGTGTTCAAATTAAAGAGATTCAGGTTGAGTATTAACAGGAATGTCATGACAGTGAGAGGAGTGAAGAAATGGAGCAACCTGTCTATAACAGTGGTGGATTCCCCTCACTGGAGGTTTTCAAATGGGGGCTAGATAATCTGCCATGGTGGTTGGAGGATTCCTGTATGAAACGGGAAGGATTAGGTTCCATTCCACTCGATATAATTCCAATCCATATAATTCTATGATTCTACTCTCAAACCTCCATTACCTCATCTCCAGGTTTGAAATAGGAAACACTCGGTCCACATTCCATCACAACCCCAGAAACATCCCGGCCTAGAATTAGAGGAAATTCTTTGCCTCTTTCTGAAATGAGCAGTGGATCTCGTTTCACTCTTAGAGCACAAGCTCCATAGCCATCTATAAAAAAAAAGAAAAATGGGAGCCAGTTTGTTGAAGTTTCATTTAGATTTATACACTTCTTTTCCTCACGACTTGCTTGCAACAATACCACTTTATTCATTCCAACAATTCCCCTAAGGATTCCCATTTTACAGACCGAAAACTGAGACTGAGACAAGCATCAGCTTAGAGATTCAGCCACAATATAAATAGATAGTAATCTGATATCCAGTTTGGGTTTTTTAAACAAGATAAGTTGATTTATTTGTTTAAACTGCAATCCCACCAAAATGTCCCAGAGGGTCTTCAGAGTAACATAAAAATCAAATTTGTCTGAATTCAGTTTAGTATATACTGAAGTTTTAAACTGCTTATATGTAAACAGAAGTATGGTTAATAGAAGATAGCAATAACATTATGTTCACCAGTGCTTCATATTGCACATTTTCCACTTTTAAATTTGCCCTTAAATATCATAAACCAACATGGAAACAGGAGGGGAATCTTTCCAAGAATACCAGAAGGTTAGCAATATTATTTTACATATATTATTTGCTTTGTCAAGAATTCAAGGCTCAGCATTTCCCAATAGGATGATCTGCCTGAAACAGAAACTGAGGTCACACTTCCTTATAGGTTGTAAAATCAGGTAGGAGAAAAGGGAGTGAGCAGAGTCAAAGAGTAGTTATAAAAGGAGACAATTCTATACCCATTTAGACTGGAGTAAGGCAAAATGAACTCAATGAAAATGCTTAAGTAGACATGGTTAGGGTTACAGTGCAAGAATCTAGGCCTCTTCTGTTCAATGTCCCTTGCATTCCATGAACATTAATAAATCTCCAACAATATTTGCTGTGTAGACAATATTAGGCCACTGGTTTCAACAGATTTAAGTAAACTTAACTCTAAATAAACTCAAAGCACAATGAATTTATAAAAATCACTAAGGCAGGACTATTATATCTTGGCTGCAAAAATATAGCAGCCACTAGATGGCAACAAAGAAATATAGACATTTCGATTTGCTGCCATCTAGTACTTGTTTGGATTTTTACAGTCCCAATCTGGTACTACTAGTTTAAAGTGATAGAGAATTCTGTATTAATCAGCTTTTCTGTAACTTTTTTTTACAAGACAGTGTCATACAATACTAGGATTAGTAAAATAGAAATACCCAGTAGAAGAGAATATATGTAGCTCAGGGTTAAACTGTGGAGTCCTTGGGGTTCTCTGAGCTTGGTTGTTTTCTTGCAAAACTGAAGATGTTACCTAGCTGGGTAACAAAACATTTCCAAGAAAACAATCAAGCTCAGAGAACCTCAAGGACTCCACCGAAATACCCAGCACAAAACTGGTTATTGGAGCAGTTACACACCAACTGCAATGTTTCACATGCCTACCTCAAAGTTTTTTTTTTTAAATAACCTAATTAACATTAACACTCCATGAGCACTGAAATAAAAGTACAGAAATCACCCATAAGGTTTATTTTCATGAGTTCAAAGCACTGTTACAGTTAGTTCACTGATGTTCATAACCATATATATATGATATGCAATGCATAACGTCTACTTACTTCGCATGTTAACATCTATAGGATTTAAACTTGCAGCGTGAACTTTAATAATAACTTCATTAGGGAGGCGGATTGCAGGAAACATCATACTATTTGTGAGTCGGAGTACATCGTTTTTCCCATAGCGATCAATCACCCAGGATGGCATTGTTGAGCATCTTTGACAGGAAATGTGGAACTTTCTACCCAGCAGCTGTAGACTCAAACTCTTCCTCATTCCAGCGGGACTAAGGCAACCCAACAATTTAGAACATACTTTCCTGCTAAGTGTGTGCCCCCTTAGCCACATTATTGCAAAAGACGAATAGAAATGTTAAGCCTCTTTTGTTCTGCTTTGAAAAATGCTTCTGATAAATCAGAAAAGTGTTAATTCTTATCTTAAAATCACCATTTTTTCCTTTCCAATTTTTTTAAATATGCCCCCTATTGATTTTCTTTTCTCGCAAGACACGAAAAACGTGGAGGAGAAAAGACAGAAACAACTGCCTTTTTCCAGTTAGACTTTCATTGTTCCTCTAGGTTGGTAAGCAAAAGAATGCTAAAGTTCACAGGAAGCAAAACTATTTTTTTCTTTCCAATTCCAGAATGCAACACCCATGCACCAAGTCCTCAAGACAACGTCAGGCACTGAAACTAATCTCTTCCACAGCAGAAAAACGACTCTCAATATCCTTACAGTATTTCCCTCCACCCCTCCACAATGTCCTTCTATGACTTTCAACTCGCGCAAAGATCTACCCGTCTTGTCCCAGGTCTCCTGCAGGCCAGCGCTGGATACCCCCGGTCACCCAAAGCCTATGCTCCCACAGGCACCGATTGACAGGCTCCGGCGCCTGGACCAATACAAACCCAGCATGCTTTGATGCTTTAAGCTCCGAGCCAATCAGCGATCTCAATGTTAGAAATGCTTACCAAGATGGATGCACACATGAGTGCCTTCCCATAGCATCGATAACAGATTCGTGTGGCGAGGAAGGTCTGCGGGTCCTTTGGAATCTTCGGTCCCGGGATGGCGGGGAAAATGCTGCGCGCGTCGCTCCGAGAGGTACGTCGCTTTCTTGACTGCTCCGGTGTTGTTTCTGTCTCTAGATCTCCAGGGTTCGTCTTCTGCGTTTGGGGGAGGCGCTATTCCTTTCTCCGCGATGCTCCAAGTATAATTAGTGTGCAAAGGATAAAAATCCAGAGAATTCAGTACTTTCGGTATTGCATTGCGGTACTCTGTTTACTGTGTTTCTGGTGTGTTTTTTTTTTAGGTTGCTGTTGTAGTAAAGCTAGGCTAACGGATGCGGGTGGCAGAAATCCAGTTGACCACTAGATGACAGCAAAGTGATATGGAAAACTCAGATTCTGTTGCTATCTAGTAGTTCGTCCGGACTTCTACAGGCCAGCCTGCAATCTTGGTAGTGCAAAAGAAAAACATGAATGTCACTAGTCTTTTTTAAAATTT